AACAAAACTTACAACAGTTACTTTTCTCAACAACTGAAATTTAGAATAGTGTGATTAAGAAAAATATGTGAACTGTTTGCAATTTCAAATTAATATTGAAATGTACAGGTTTAGAATTTTCTACAGTGAAAAGTTTTCGGAACTTCAGTATTCAAAAAAGTATACAAAAACTAGACGTTAAGAACGTATCCAATGAGCGAGCAAAGCGAGCATTGGATTGCGAAGCAATCCGAAATGAACTGCGAAAGCAGTTCCGGGGGTTGGTGAGCGCCAGCGAGCAGGGGGCGAAGCCTCCTAGTTATTATATATTTTACTAAGGCATTTGCATACAAGGACAAATGCCCTTTAGAAAAAGCACGGTTTTGAAAATGTAATTTAAGGAGAGAGAAACAGCGCATTATTTTACCTTTGCCTTTTTTAATATAGGCTCAACTTCCTACACGTTCTGCCAAACAAGGTCCAAGCCCCGTGGCTGCTTCGTATTCCTTAAAAATCAATGAAGAAGAAACTGAGAAAATAACAAAGAAAAAAAGATAGTTTTGTTAATACACTAACCGGCCAAAAATATCCGGACACCCGGTTGTTATGGTGGAGGGAGCATAATGGTGTGGAGGTGTTTCTCATAGTTTGACCTCTGTCCGTTAGTTCCTGTGGTTGGAAAACAGGAACTACTAGATGAACGAGACATTCTGGACAATGCTGCACTCCCAACTCTATGGCAATAATTCGGGGAAGGCCTATTTTTCTTCAAGCAGGAATAACTGCTCTATTCCCACATCGAGACCTGCACAGACGTGGTTTGACGAAATTTGTGTTCAAAAACTGGACTGGACTTCTTGGATCAACGATCTAAATCCCATAGAACAGGGGTGGCCAAGCTCCTTGATAGTCGAGCCATTTTTTTAAATTTAAAATTTTTCGTGTGCCGCAATTAAATATGCATTTAAAATTTATGCAAAAAAGTTATTAAATTTTTTTTTGCGGAAATTATATTTATTGAAAACATATAAATAAAAGTACAAGATATGTGTATTGAATTTAAATATTAAACGCATTTATTTGACTTCTTTTGATAATTCTTTAAAATTTTGTGAATAATTGGTGACAGAACTTCTCAGTAATTCTTTGAGATGCTGGTTAGTTAATACTGATCGGAGTTTGGTTTTCACGAATTTTAAAGTGGAATAAACAGTTGCTCCGAATATTGAAATAATTCGACAAGCAATCTTTTTTAATTCAGGATACTTCGATTCTGGTAAAAATTTCCAAAATTCAGTAATCGACGTCGACTTATATTTAAATTGTAGAGCTTGATCGTCTTGAATCTCTATTAATTCTAATTCTTCAGATGCGTTTTGGGTCATAATTACATTGGAAATGGAAAATTCATCTTGAAATATGTTAATTTCAAATGGATTCAGGAAAATACTAAAATATAATAGCAGAAAGATGAAAAAGGAATTCGGGTACTTTTATCGAGAGCCACAAATGATCCTTCAAAGAGCCGCATGTGGCTCGCGAGCCGCATGTTCTCCACCCCTGCCATAGAACATCTTTTTGACGAATTAGAGAGCAGATTACGTAGCCAGCTAAATCGGCCATCCTCACTGCAAGTATTCTCTTCACCTGTGAAGGATGCCTGGAAGTCAATTCCTATAGTCACCCATCAAAATCTGGTGAAGAGTCTTGTCTTACCAGGCTGTCATAGATGGCTTAGGATGTTCTAAGTCCGTAACTCTTTTGGCCAGATAGTGTATGTTAATCGCAAAAAATAGACGATTTATTGGATTTAAAAAAGAATATGTAATAATAATATGCAGCGTGTGATATGCTAATAGGTACTATGTTAATAGAAATAATGTCAATTAGTACTGTGTCAAAGGGTAATAGGTACTGTGGTAATACGTATATTTATGACATATAACTTTGCAGTTCGAGTCTAGTAAAATGCCAAACAGTTTTGATTTATGTGAAAAACATTTCGTTGTAACAAGAATACTAAACTACTATGTAGCTTGTGATCGAACTGAGAGAGTTCGGGTATAGAAGCAACCCGAAAGGAACCACAGAAAGGAAGAAAAAAAATCTGTCTGGGGCGTTGTCAAGCAATATATCACTCGGATATTTTTGTTTTGTTTATTCTGCTTTATCGTTAGGAAGTTGCTTTTATATGAGAATAAATTTTCTTTTGATCAAATTTGACTTTCCTTTCTTGTACATAGTTGATTTCTGAAAGAAAGCAGGCAAAGCTGGAAAGAAGAATGTCTTCTGTCGATTCACAAGTTAGCAATGACAGTAGTTACAAGAGAAAGAAAAGAGCTTTGTTGGATCTCCTACTGGATGAACATATTCAAAACAATTCCATTTCAGAAACAGAAATAAGAGAGGAAGTGGATACTTTCACATTTGAGGTAAATTAAAAAAATAATAAGTCAATAAACACAATTGGGATTAAAACAAACAAATATGAATGGGTAAGAACTAGAAATGGCCTTAGCTCGAGCACTGGGCATCATATACCTTAGCTCAAACGCAGGCTCTGTAATTAAAAGTAGCATTTCAATTTAAGCTTTCTCATACACATTAAAAAATAGTTTGTACACTGCTGATTTCAGTTTTCCTTGTCATTTATTTCAGAATGGTGATAAAAATTGTTAATGTCATTTTTTTTGAAAACTTTGGTTTTTTCTCTCGTTGACTTCATATGAAGGGGTTGGACAAAATAATGGAAAAAACTTCTATATTGAACACATTTTTTGATCTTTCTCAAAATAATACTTAAATAATCTTTTTATAAATTTAGTAGTAGTTAGGGCGAGTGATTTTTCATATACATCAATGATGTTAAAAACTTTTATAAGTGGAGTAAATGACAATAAATTGCAAACGAAAAAAAGTGTTTTTGAACACCTTATTACAACAAAAATTATAGCAACAAATTTGCAACTTGTGACTGTTATTTTGGTTGTTACATGCAACAAATGCACAAAATTTCGCTAACCTAGCTTAAATATTAATAGAGATATGGACATTTATATCAGAAAACTAATTATTTTCTCTCGCGTTTTTGCTTTAACTTTAAAACTATTAAAAAAAATTAAACATGGTTTTTGGAGCAATTTAAATTTATTTAGAAAATTATTGCTTTAACATTTGAGAAAAAATCGTTTAAAACTGCTCAAGATATGTGTAATTAAAGAAGTTCTTTCATACTACGCATGCGCGGGAGAAAATAAAAAGTATTTTTTCTTAATTTTGTAGAGAATTGCATCTGGTAACTAATAGAGAAAAAAAACACGAAAGAAAATTAAGAAGAACAATAAGTTTCATTTATTGCGCATAAGCTGCAAGTAAATAGAACTCATAAAATAAGTTCAAACTTAAGATAAAACAAAGGAAAATTACAGATTAATGAAAAAAAAAGGGGGGGAGGAAGAAAATTAATAATAAAAATAAAAAAAACTGGGAAAAAAACCCGAAAAAAAAGGGCAGAATTCTTTAAAAAAATCCGGAAAATAAAAGATATAATCTTTTCATCAGCTCATAAAAAAATTATATCTGATGAAAAGATTATATCTTTTATTTTCCGGATTTTTAAAGGAATTTTATCCTTTTTTTCGAAATTTTTTTTTCTTCCCAGTTTTTGTTATTTTTATTATTAATTTTCTTCCCCCCTTTTTTCATTAATCTGTAATTTTCCTTTGTTTTATCTTCATTTTGAACTTACAAAAAGATTTTAGAATAATAAATAAATTGAGAGGGTATTTCTGAACTATCATTTTTTTAAAATTTTTTGTGTGCTGGTTTTTAATTATTTAAATAATTATTATCTTCATAGGGTCACGATACTACTTCCATAGCTATGAGTTGGACTCTCTATTTAATAGGACTGCATCCATGGGTTCAGGATAAAGTTCACGATGAATTGGATTCTATATTTGGTGAGAGTGATCGTGAAGTAGATGTTGATGATATTAAAAATATGAAATACTTGGAATGTGTGGTGAAAGTATGTCTCGTTTTTTGATATTTAACCTTATTATATTAGAGCTCTTTCGTGTTCTTAATGTTTGATGCATTTTTAAATAAATAGAGTATTTTTATGATGAAAAATGTAGCTATGGTATGCTAACTGACAGAAACATCGCTAGACCCATTGTTGAAATAAAGAAAAAAAAAGAATAATTTGAAATGTAAAAAAAAAAAAAAAAAAAAAAAATATTTCTTTGAAATTACATTTTTTAAAGCATTATTTGCTTAAAATTTTAAATACTCACAGTAAATTAGCTTTTATATACTTTTCAAGGCTTATATTAAGGCGATTGATAGAAATCATATAGTTTATTTTTTAAAAATAATAACATTCCTACTTGGGAAAATGCTAAACGCAATTTTTTCTTCTTCTTTTTTTTAAATTCCAAATTCTAAGTTCGAGAGTTATTGTGGTTTTCAATGCCTTTTTCGGGATTTTTTTTTCGGTTTCAAATAATGATATATACACTGTTCTTGTAAAATCTGTCTCCTACGAGATCTTCCTTTTAAAACACACATGGGGATAGGCTACTAAAAATGTCAACCGTCATCTATCAAAAGAGATACCTCAAGAGAGAATCTATTATATATATCTAATATACAAGTGAATGGGAATTTAATAATTGTAGTGGTAATTACGCTGCGATGCTCCCCCCACCAGAATTCTATATAGGGTATCCAGACTTTTAGCGATGAATGGATATCACGGAGAGCTGTATTACGACCTCCGGACTTTGAGCACTAATCGTGAAAGCTAAATTAATATCACTGTTGTGTGAGGTCTCTCCCACGTGCTATTAGCAGTTGAATGTGTACAGGTCCCGGTTGAGTATGATCGAGACTGGGTAGCAACAGAGCGAGGAGGACAGTGTTGCTGTCACAAATAACAAGTCAATTATTCCCTGTGTTCCAACACGTCTTGTATACTAGTGAATGGGAATTTAATAATTGTAGAGGTTATTACGCTGCGATGCTCCCCCCACCAGAATTCTATATAGAGTATCCAGACTTTTAGCGATGAATGGATATCACGGAGAGCTGTATTACGACCTCCGGACTTTGAGCACTAATCGTGAAAGCTAAATTAATATCACTGTTGTGTGAGGTCTCTCCTACGTGTTATTAGCAGTTGAATGTGTACAGGTCCCGGTTGAGTATTATCAAATAACATTAAAAATAACATTAAAAATAAACATATTCTATTTAAATTCCTCAATTATATTTATACTTTGTTTTGAGTTATCTTTGATTTTAGGAATCGATGAGACTCTATCCTTCAGTTGCAGTTTTTGGACGAGAAATAAGGGAAGATCTTCAGTGTCGTTAGTGTTTATTTATTTTTCTTTTCGTTTTTATTATTTTTTCTGCATTATTATAACACTTCACAAATGTCAGTTGAAACATGCCTGTTGGGGAATGTTAGCTGAAACATGCTTTCTATAGTAGATGAAAATCTATTCTTAGATTTGGCACTGCGGTTACCTGATTGGAGAGAAGGTAGGAATCATCACTAGAATTCCGAATTGGCTACCTGCGAGTGACGTCATCGTAAGTAAATCCTGACATGTGTCGATTCAGAAGCCAATCAGGATCGACGCACACGCGTGACGTCACTTTCAGATATTCTAATAAGTCTGATTTAAATCACATCGAAACAAACAACGACTGGGAATACCTATATTTTGGTATTCCAAAACCCCTTTTATTTTGGGGATTAGAAATCCTAATTCATAGAAAAAAGGTCAGTGAAAGTCAAAGGTCGGTGTTTAGTCAGTGAAAGTAAATTTTTGTGTATGATTTCGTAACTTAAAATTTTGTTTGTGCTAATTATTTAGTATATTTGAGGTCACCAACTCAAACCATTAAGATTGAGTCTTAGAACGTGAAAATCAGATGATTAGATTAAAAATAATTCAAGTTATTGTTTTTGTACACTGTAAAATTAATGCTAAAATTTTTTAAAAAAAAGTTTCTTCTATAAATTCTATTTATTCTAATTTTTGTCAAAATCTGTACGCATATAGACTCAAATATATGTGATTACACAAAATTAGCCAATTTGGTTATCAAATCAGTCGCTTACTATAAAACGACTATTTCTATTTGAATGCATTTTTCTACAATAATTTTGAAAGAATGCAAACTTGACAGGAATTTAAAATAATTTAGGAATTTACAGTTCAACTGATATCGGACAAATAGTCTGTAATTGGGAAGTGTCTACTGTGCCGAAAAATGTGGATGAAATTTTCAAAATTTATGATATGCTCTACATTTTCTCAAAGTATGTAATCGCTGTATTCAACGATGCCAATTTGCTCCACTTTGTCAAAAAATATTTTCTTGTGGTAACGAAATTTATTTTGAGTTTAGTATTTTTTATTTTAAATAATTTTTCACTCCTACATATCAAGAATTCAAAGTATCATATGAAATGCAACTTTATTGCAATTATTTCGTGGTGGCACTTTTAAAGAGTGGGCGCAATTATATTTATTCTACAGTTTTACTATTATTAGATGTTGAGTGTACAGGTTCCCATTGAGTATGATCGAGACAGAGTAGCAACAGCGCGAGGAGGACAATGTCACAGTGAAAAATAGCAAGTTAACAATCCACTGTTCTCCGACATGTCTTATATACTACGGAATGGGAATTTAATAATTGTTGTGGAAGTTACGCTACAAGCTTGATGTCAAAAGAAAAATAATAATAAATAAAATTAAAAAATAGATTCTATAAGTTTTACTATTTCATTCACTACCAATTTATTAAAACTTTTGTAGAAAGTGAAGCAGCTGGCATACCTGTGTATTGAATTACTCTGCTTAGAGAAGTTTTCTAAAGTCTTCAGTATCGGACATGCTTCAGAAATTTGATAAAAACATCAACTAATTCGAAACAACCTTTGATAAGTAAAATTTACTAAAATTTCTAGAAATCTTCAAATTTAACTTTTATTAATCAGAATTATAAGTAAATTAGGACATATGTATGTCATTCTGATTAAAAGTAAGTCGTAATTAGAGGAATCTTAAGCAGAATCTTGGGAATTATAGGATACGAGTTATTCTTATAGACAGGAAGTGTTAGTTAAAAAATTATTTAATTTTTAAATTACACAACATTAAAACTTCAAGTTCTCTGAAAATACTAAGTAGCAAGATTAAAGTGTTTTTGTTGTGGTAGAAGGTTTTAAGAGCATTTTGCAACAAAAAGTTGAGAAGTAACCAAAGAAAAACTCTCCTTAGGCAATTAAAACGCTTAAAGTGTAAATGCTATCACGTGAATAGCTTAAATGAAAATCAAGGATTTATGGAATTTGCATGATTGAAAAAATAAATAAAGGCATGAAACAATCTTTATTTTCTAATGTCGAATTATAAACTTTAAAATTAACTCATTTAAAGTTTGATTAAATGTTCCATAAATCATTTTCCTAGTAATTTATGTGTGATATCGATAATTACAAATTTATTGTGTGATTTCTTTTATTTACAGGAGAACATGTGATACCCAAAGGAAGTATGTGTCACGTAAATGTTTATTTTCTTCATAGAGATCCTGAAGTCTTTCCGAATCCTGAAAAATTTGATCCCGATCGATTTTCTCCAGAAAATAGTGCGGGAAGACATCCTTTTGCATATGTACCTTTCTCTGCTGGACCTCGAAATTGCATAGGTTGGGATCGTAAATAAGTTATATGCAGATTTAAAAGCTGGCATTTTTAATTGATTCAATAACTATACGTAAATGGTTAATTCGGTACTTTTTTAAAATTTTTTAAATTATTGGTTTATGGTTGTAAATGAAAAGACATGAAGCAAGGCGTCCATGTGGGGTGACCAATCACTTCAATCCTTGTGATCTCGAGCACATTGCCTTTTGATTCAAATCCACTTAGTCCCGTAGTGGACTGATCGTTAAGACACGGTTCAAAGCAGATCACTGAAGTCAAGCATCACTGACTGCGGTCACTGTGCGGGTGGGTGACCACTTGGATCAGTCTACGTAGGGACCGAGGGTGTGCGGTATTGGTCCTCGTTATAAGTGCTCGACTTCGCGTGCAGGTCGTCGGGCTACCGAAGCGGGGATGCCATCCCCTCTGCAGAGGATCAAAATTGTGATGGCATGTCTTCGGATCATCCTCAAGGATGTTTCCCAGACCGTCGCCAATAGCCCGTTGTGCAGCTCTAGTGCGACGTAAATTAACAAATCAATCAATCAAGCCCACTTAAATGAAAAAAAAAATTTAATGTTCTGTACTCATCATTTTTTAAAACCAAAAATTGTAATTCTATCTTAAATATCCATTCACACCATTTTTTCCCCAAAGTTTTAAAAAATACACACTTTAGTGCATAAGCATAAAATAAGTTGTTTCTTTTAAGAATGTTTATAGGCATAAAAAGAGAAATTTTCCATTTTCTAACATGTAAATACTTAGTTACTCAAATTGGGTTCATCGTTCTGAATAACCCCGTATAATATAATATTCAAAGACATTATTGACTTAAGTCATTTCATGCAACATATATGATAATTCAGAACTATTTCTCAAAAATTTGAATGCAGGTCAAGAATTATATAGGTGTATATGGTCATAAATGCAATGAGATGTGGTGAGGAACGCTGGTCAAGAAAAAATGACTGAAAGTGTATTTTGGTTGTGTAATCTTTTAAGCTTCTCATTTCCTTCGTTTTGCCGCGAGCTGCCATAGCCGATCGCTGTTACTCACTTAGCACCACCCAGGAGGCACGTGTGAATTCAGGAATTTCACGGACGCGAGTAATTATACCTCCCATGTGTTTATTGATTCAAATGTTTATTGTTCACTTTACCTAAATTGTTGAATTGCTTCTTTGTTAATTTTCTGCTTCTTTGTGATGCAGTGAGCTGTCAAATTTTCTGGATTGAATTCCTAATAAAGCCATATGAAACACTCTTTCAAGCTTTTGTTTATAGTTGCTTTCTTGAAACGCGTTGCTAAAAGGTTAAATAATTTCAAATCAACGGTAATTGAAATGAAAATAAAAGCTTTATTATTCCTAAGAGTAAAATTAATGGAAAAAGTAATTATTGTAATAAATTGTTACTATCAAGAATTAGGCGTAAAAAATATAATCATTTTCGGTGTAAGTGATACCTAAATTCGTAGATAATTTTAGTTTTTTTATTCGTTGATAATTTTAGTTTAATTTTAGTTTAGTTATAATAATCTCTTTTCCATAATAATCTTTATTTTGATTATTTTTTCTAAAAACGAGTGTTACCTTTAAATGGGTTTTCATACGGGCTATGATGTATCAAATGCGTTTGACTTTAAGTTTTGTGCATGTTTGAGTTTGAGTAAGTAATACCGATTTCTGAATTATTTATTTTTTTTCACTCGTAAGAAGAATTTATATTTAGCTAGTATTAAATATTTTAAAAATCTTGATAAAAATGAATACATCAAAGCATTGCTCCGAAGTTCATCATATTTTGACTAATTAAGTTACATTACACGCAGTTAATTTGAATTGAGAAAATGTACCGGGTGTCCCAAAAATGACTGCTGGCTTTTGAAAATCAATAAAAAAAGGAACGGAACTTGATAAAAATACATTTTTTGCTGTATTGTGCTTGAGGAACTAATTTTTTGTTCCATGTTACCCATTTAGTTAAATTTACCCCAATAGGTGGCGCTAGGGAGTAGGAATCATTACAATCTGTATTAAAATGGTGCTGCGACAATTACAAAACATCAAACACCCGCTGTTCCAATGCAAAATAATGTAATGTGTAAATTTTCATTAAAATCCTTCACAAGTGCTCACTAACTAAATTCCGACGTTGCTAAATCCCGACAGGGGTAGTCACGAATTTAATTTCTCTTAAGCTCTCGCAGCGTCACCTATTGGCGGAGCGTTTATATAAATCGTGTTACGTAATTCTTAATTTCCGAGACATAATGCCCGCAAATCATTCGTTCCGTTCTTTTATCATTGATTTTCAAATTCCATCAGTCTTTTTTGGAACACCCGTAGCTTGGCCAGAGGGAGGGAACGTTTTGCAAAAAAGAACTTAAACTAATAACTACTTATTTTCCTTATAGGACAAAGATTTGCCTTAATGGAAGTCAAGACTGTGGTTTCATCCATCCTTAGAAAGTTCAAAGTAAAGTCTTTGGATCCAAGAGACAAAATCAATTTATTAAATGAAATAGTTATGAGACCTGAAGGAGAAATACGGATACAAATTCGAAGGAGGACGGATGATTTTGATTTTAAAACTGTTTATTATTATCCATGAACGTTGATATTATTATATATTTTAACATTCTCATGCTTTAAATTGCACTCTCAATGCTTTAAATTCATTTTTAAATTATTAAGAAATATTTTCATAAAGTGTTCTAGTTGGTACTTATTGTAAATTTTGAATACAAATTAACTTGTTTGTGTTTGTACGAGAACGTAGTGATCGAAGAAAATCGCTCTCTAACTTACATAGTGTTACAAACGGAGTATATATGGTTACATAATCATGCAAACGAACGTCATAATCGGCGTTGAACAAACAGCTTCTAGAAAAGAAAAGGCTTTCCCATGGGTTACCATAAACTATAAATCCTATCCCTCACTAGTCGGAAAGTTGTCACACCAATGCACAGTTTATATTTATTTCTTCGGACAACTAAAGCGACCCGTGGGAAGGCCTTCTCTTTTTTAGAAGGTGTTGGTTAAACTTGTAACTGAGTATGTTCTAAAATTCATTATTACTGATGCCCATTGATTAGAAAAAAATTATTAATTCATAGGTAAACTCTATAACTTAGGTGAGGCTTGGTGCTATGATCCGTCTACTATGAGGATATACACTATCTAGCCATTAATGACCGGACACTGAAGTTCGGCGGTGGAGGAATTATGGTGCGGTCCTGTTTCTCATGGTTTGGCCTTGGACCCTTGGTGTTAGTGCGTCGAACCCTGAACGCAGAAGGGTATAGAGACATCCTGGACAATTCGGTGCTTCCCACCCTGTGGCAACAGTTCGGTAATGGCCCGTTTGTGTTTCAACACGATAACGCTGCCATTCATAAAGCACATGCCATCACGGACTGGTTTGATGAAATGGGGGTGCAAGAGCTTGACTGGCCATCCCAAAGTCCTGACATCAATCCAATTGAGCATCTCTGGGATGAGTTGGAGGCCGGTTGAGGGCCAGACCACAACGCCCCAAAACCACCACTCAACTCTTCGCCATGTTCCAGGAGAAATGGCGGGCAATACCTGCCGCCGTGTACCAACACCTAGTGGATAGCCTTCCTAGAAGGGTTAAAGCTGTGATTCGGGCGCGTGGCGGCCCTACGCCCTACTGATTTGATACCAGCACCTTATGTATCCGAAATTAGGGTTGTCCGGTCATTAATGGCCAGATAGTGTATTTAAGTCAGCACTGTGGTCGGTGCAAGTTGGATGGATGATTCGCATCGAACAGCCGACACGGGCATTCTGACCTAGTTCACTTCATCGAAAGGCGAACACTCTATCCCTTGAGTCACCATGACTGATGCATTGAGCATTGGGGCAAACTAGCTTTCGTGGAAGACTTTTTGATAGAACTAACCCACATCTGCATTATATGGAGAGAAAAACCTCCCATAGTTAGTCCGATACAGGAGGATTCCAACACAATATCCGCTTGTTACTGAGGATATTTAATGTCAACACTGTGGTTTGTGTGAACCGGAAATAAAATTCACATCAGAAAGACAACTCATTGGGAGATGCATGTCCAATCCCCTGAGCCTCAGAAGCTCTGTATAAAATATATTTTATTTTTTAACCATAGCTGTGCAGTCGAACTAAATTTAAGTTTACAACTACCAATGTTCAACTCCGTAATCTTACTATTAAGGAATAAAAATATAATTTTATTATTTGAGTCGTTGACAAAGCATCTTTAATGAGTAAAGAATATGAAAACAATAATACTTTTGTCGAAATTAATAATTCTAAAAAAGAAATCAAATTTTGGCTTTTTCCAAGAAAATAGGTTTAAAAGTCAATAGAATTTATTATCCTTATTTATTTCCAACTATTAAGTTGCACAAAAACCGCTTAAATGTAGATTTGTTACTTGCAGTACTGGTTGTTATAATTCTGGTTTTGGAAAATGGTTTTTTAATTAATGATTTTTTAAATAATTTGAATAAAAATATTATTTTAACTAAAATTATTTCTAATGATAAGTATTTTATTATAAATAACAACCAATACGTTATTAAATATTTAAGTTGCATTAAAATATTTAAATTACATTGAAATATTTAAATTACTATAAAAATTCTTGTTCAATAAAATATGTATTCTTACATGTGACTTCGAAAATTTATTTACGAATATACTATACAATAATTTAAGGAATATTTGATAAGAAATTTTTGATAAATATATTTGAGTAATGAGGACCTTAATTGGGAGGATTGAATTAATTTATGTAGTGTTAACATTTTTGAAAATTATCTTTTAAATTATATTTGTTTTTGCAAACTAATTCAAGGTGTCTCAATGGGAAATTGTTATTCAAGTGCATTTGCTAATATTTTATTGTATTTTTATGAACAAAAATTTTTACAGCATAAATTATTAATTGAGTTTAGATTATTGATAGATTTAATTATTTTTGATTGTAATGATTTTGACTTAATTAAAGATATTTATCCTAAAGAACTTAATTTAATAAAGGCTTATTCATTTGAAAATGGTGCTAATTTTTTAGATCTTGATATTAAACTACATAACCAAAAAATTTTTCTTCGATTATAAGATAAAAGAAGAGATTTTAAGTTTAATGTTATTAGTTTAACACATTTTATTTCCAACCTATACTTTAAAATTTGTAAGGATATTTTGATCGGTAAAATTATTAGGCGTAAATTTATTTTTGATTATAAAACAGATTTTCTTTCAGCTATTGGGATTTTCAAAATTACATTAAAGAATAATAATTTTCCTTTTACTTACTGTAATTATAATTTTTTAATTCAAAGTATTTTAAAGACGTTCAACTATTTCGGCCGATATCGAAGCCAGCATAAATAAGCCTATGCGGTGAAATTTAGGATTTTTGTTCCTGAAGTTGGCAGCACTCTATCTGAATTTTTACTCATTGAATGTTTTTGCTTCATTTTTCAAGATTTTTGGAAGAGGTCAGGGCTTGAAATATTTTTAAAGAATTTTTTAAAGATTTGTCAATTTATATTTAATTTTGATTTTGTTATTCTAGCTGTAACTTTATCTTTATTTATTTTTTTCTTTGCATATGGGCGTTTTAATATTAGTTCTTACTCTGTGTACTTTTGAATTGTGTTTGTGTATCAATAATTTTTCATTGCAGTTACATTTCAGTTTTTAAATTTTTAAATGCTTTTTCTTATTTAGTTTATCGATTACTGGGCCTCGAGTTTTTGGTAGTACCACTGACAACAGAAAGGTTCCTATGTGTTTTCAAAGCCAATGTCTCCAGATGAAGTGTTGTTTAGCTAACATACATAGCTTTAATAATTTTTCAGTTTTTGCTTGATTTGTGTTTCTAGCTTTCTAAATTTTTAAAATAACTTTATAAATCATTTCTTGTTACACATACATACGCCGTTCATGTGCTCATTACAAAGTGAGATTTAATATAAGCCATTGTCTAGTCTAGACGAAGAACACAAGTTAGAGAAAGACACAGCAAAAATTCATCTATTATAGCGGGGAGCAGGTTTAAATCCCACCGTTTTTCTGTATCTGTGTCTTGACGATTTTCTTCATCTGTGCGACTTGCATTTCGACTTTGTCAAGGGCTCATAAGCCAAACATTGTAATGAGCAAACAAGCCTGCTTATGTATCTGTAACAATAAAAAATATAAATGATTAGAAACAATAAATAAATATAAATAAAAATAAATAAATAAATAAAAATAAATAAATAAATAAATAAATATAAATAAAAGTAAATAAATAAATAAAAATAAAAATAAATAAATAAATATAAATAAAAATAAATAAATAAATATAAATAGCTAGATACTTCCAGGATTGTGGTTGGATTCGAACTCGCTACCTCTGTGCGTCCATTTTAGGATGTTTGGACAGCGCCGATGAGTAGCAGTAAAGCTATTAAAAAAGTACAGCCTAATCTAATGTTTAGCATATTTGCAAATATATTAAAATGCATATTCGTTCATTACAAATACAATTTATTATAGTTTTAAAGGTGTGTAAATGTCAGCTTAAAGCTTAAATCGAAGCAAAAACTAATCTATAGGAAAACAAAGTTAGTCGTCTGTGTTTACTAAATAAATCAGAGTTTATGAAACTGAACATTTTTGCGTCATCTTCATTTATGCTACAACTGTTAAAATTGACACATTTTTGATTAAAACTACAAAATTATACCACATTTACTACCAATGAGCATGGTAATAAAACCATATTTTATCCTTATTCTTTCCAGAAGTAATTATTAAAACATTTCAGTAAAAATTACTGCGCTTTTTGGTGTTCCCATAAAACCAAAAATACTGCAAAATTAAACAAATTCGGGTAGCATTGACTATATTTTTTTAAACCTTTTCCTTTATAATTTATTACATGCGAAAATACTTGCGTTTCATTTTCATAAAATTATGCAACTTTATTTTAATAAAAAAAGGTGAAAGAAAACAATTGCGTGCATTATTATAATTCTACCATCATGTCAAATGTTTGTGGATAACGGTAAAGCAATTGTGTAAATAGCGTATACTATTAAAAACTGAAACAATAGTTATAAATCAATTTTTGAATTAATTGAGAAGCGTATTTTATTTTATAGCTGTTGTTCAGTTTTATTTTCATCGTTTTTTTTTATTTCCTTTTTATTTTGATGGGAGGCATTACCCACTCAATGATATTTATTCATTCAGGAATTTATAGGTTTTAATGATTTCAAGTATATTATTCATATAATATGTCTAAAAACTAAAAAGTTTGTTTATAAACTTTGTTACATCATTCAGCTAATATTTTTTAATGATTATTTTCTCACGTATGAGACTCTTACGTTCTGCGAAATAAAAAAAAATCACAAAAAAAGGAGAAATCAAAGAAAATATTTCGTGATTTTAGAGTCGTTACTTGCAATAACTTTTTCACATGTTTTGCTCAAATAGTCCATTTACTTTCAAATTCGTTTATAAACAATTGTAGTTGCGTTTGATTTCCTATAAAAATGTAAAATGAATATATTTTAAGTAAAGTGGAGGCAAAACAATGAAATTGCTGTTTTCTGTCAAACATTAATCTACGACTTGCTTATAAACTTTTCAAATCTGACTTATTAATGAAAGTTAATGAGCTTGTAAAAAAGAAAAGAATGTAGGATCGAAAAAAGCAATATGTCGCTTTAGATTTAACAGTTTTGTAAATCAAAGTTAAGAAATTTATCAAATATAATCAAAAGTTCATCTAACTTGAAAGAAGATCTGACAGTTATGTTAATGAGAAAAGTGCAGAAATATCTAACATTAAAAATTTAAACAATTTTATGAATCAAAGCTGATGAGTTTGTAGAAAATAATCGAGACGTAATGTGTGACGTTAAAGATTTAACAGTCTCGATATATGGTATTGATGATGTTATGAATCTGACAACTTTCTCGAATGGAAGCTATGAACTTGGTGGAGTTGAAGGAAAATTCTTGCAACTATTGCTAGACTTCTTGGGTGTGAATGCGAAATTTAAACATTTTAGAGATTTCGAAGGATTTCGAGAACCTAGGGAAATTGTTGATGCGGGAGAGGCAGACATAGCCATGACCCATATGATGATATACTATCGCTTTGATAAAGGTCTTTTAACTGCACCATACAGGTTCAACTATTATACATTTGCAGTTAGAAATTCTGTACCCATAGCAACAAGATTTGCATTTTTCCAACCCTTTTCCTTAGACACATGGGTGGGATTTCTCGTTGTTTTTATATTTATTCCAATACTTGGCATCAAAATAATGTACAACAAGTTATCTTATTTGGATCTACTTTTTAGCATGAGTAGCTGTGTCTTGAAGCAACCGTTAGAACTTCCACTGGAATCCTTAAAAGCCAGATTATTATTTTTGTTTTGGCTGTTTTTCACCATGATAATTTCCTTTTGTTATTCGGCAGTTTTTTTCTCCTTTATGGTGAATACGTTAAAAAATCCTCCAGTGCGAAATTTCGATGAGCTCTCCAATGCAGTCCATGCTGGGACTCGTAAATGTTACATGCTTCCCATAAAGGCAAGCATAAATGCGCTAAAATTTTCCAAGAATGCCAACGTTAGACGATTAATTAAGCATGTAGAAGACAATAGTTATTTTTTTGATTATAAGAGGAATAGAGATTTTCATGATGCTTTAGTCGAGGGCAATGCAGTGATTCGTTCAGAGTTTATATTGAGGATAAAGTATGGTCCGAATCCAATGCTTTTCATATCAGATGACAAAATTTCATTTTCCCTGGTCTCCATTTATTTTCGCAAAAATTTTTGTTTAAAGAAAAGAATAAATATTTTCATTTCACGATCTTGGTATTTTGGATTATACCAGAAATGTATTAAAGAGGTTCAAATGAAATATATTGCCTCTGCAATGAAAAACTCATATATCAGTACAAATTCTCCTAAACCATTGCATTTGTATGATATTTCTGGTGTTTTTATTTTATTATTTTTTGGTTACATTCTTTCTTTCATTGTGTTAGTGATGGAAAATATTCTGAAAAAATATGCAAAGTAATGAAATTTATATTGTCTATTATATTTTATTATTTTCTGGGTTATATCCAATATCTTTTCTCTTACTGATAATAGAAATAATTCTGAACAGATATGCAAAACGATGAAATTTATGCTGTAGATTAAATTATAGTATAGTATTTTTTGTATATATTTCATTTTTTCTTGTGCAGATGAATAAAAATAATTCTGAATGAATATGAAAGAAATAAAATTTATATTGACTATTATATTTTATTATTTTCTGGATAATATTCTGTATCTTTTCTCGTACTTATAATAGATAAAAATCTGAACAATGAACAAAGCAATGAAATTTGTATTGTAGACAAATTTATAGTTTATTATTTTCTGGAAATATTTTATTTTT